GTGACTCCAGTTACCAATACCGTGCTGTAACACTTGAAAGTTGCTATGAGAACAGAGCTTTAATATTCTCACCACAACAACAACAACAAAATGGTAATTCCGTGAGGTGAAGGATGTGTTAACTAACCTTATTGTGGTAACATTTCAAGACATATACGTTTATCAAATCACCACTTTGTACACCTTAAACGTACACAGTGGTTTATGTCTCAATAAGGCTGGGAAAAAAAGATAAAGGAGCAGATTATGTAAGCAACTTCCTTGCAAATGGTTCAGAAAAATATAGAAATATATAAAATATATTTATAAAATTATAAAATATATAGAAATGTATAATGTGTAGATAGACATAAAGAAACGAGGTGCTCTGGCTTGATGAACCTAGCTGAAAAAATTGCAAACAAAATAAAATGATTGTTTCAAGCCACAAATTTGGGATAACCAAAGCATCTTCTAAACTCAAATATCTACAAGCTTTATAGTTTTGCCTTTCACATTTATGTCTGATCCACCCAGAAGTGTTTTCCTGTAAAGTGTGAAGTCAAGGTTCAATGTCAATTTCCCCCATATACACAGGTAATTGTCCCAATAACATCAAAAAGTCAACCCTTTCCTTGGTGGCCAACCTCTGTACCCACACGTGTGTGGGATTCCTGCTCTTTATTCTGATGCACTGATCTGTCTGCCTCCTCCAAGCCAAAACTATACAGATGTAATCATCACAGCTTTATCAAAGTATCGATATGTGGTACAGCAGGCCCTCCACCTTGATCTTCGAGGGTGTTTTAGCTTTCCTGACTCTGAGTCTTATAAATGTGAGAATCAGCTTAGCAAGTTGGCTTAATTTCTCTGCAGCCCAGTTTCTCATCTGCTGGAAGAATTGAAAAAGACAATAAATATGGACACAATTTGTAGAGTCCCGGGAACAACAGAGTTTTAGTTTATTGTATTTATATTGCTAAACCTAAGCAAACAATGTTGATCTCCATAGCCTGTTTTTCTGTCAGTTCTGAAACATCTCCTGAATTCGCAAGTGTTTTCCAGGACTGACGGCCGGCTCCTGTTACTGACAGCTGGATGTGCGACCCTGGTTCATATTAGGACTCCTCCCAAATTGGCCTTGCTAAAACTGTAATTTTTTTTAATCTCCTTTTGAACTTTTACAGCCACATTTCAGCTGGCCAACAGTTTTGAAAGCTGGAAATAATTCAGTCCTGCTGTCAGTCTGTGGTCAGATTCCAGTTTGACCTGTTGCATGATTTGAGCAAGGATTTAATAGGACCACGTGGAAAACGCCTGGTCCTTTCCTCTTTATCAAATTGGCCCTTGTGAGAACCAGACCGGAGACGCAGGCAAAGCATGGACTCTTCATCATAAAAAGTTTTCACACCGTACCTTCAAAAGAGTTTTTATCCTCTGTGAACCTAACCCTAAGTTGAGAGAGAGGCATCACTGCTTCATTAATACGAATAATAGCTGTTTTACTTTTACATACTAATTTTACAAAACTTAGAAAATATTTTTAAAAAGTATTCATTTATCCATGATCCAAAGCTAAATGCTACGAACATTTTAAAGGATTGTCATCTGCTTTCTTGTCTTTACGCACAGGTTTCTTTTTTTCTCTTTTAATGTAACACGCGCTAGTCTGCATCCTGCCCGTGGCCGGCCTCTTGCTTGGCTCGTCAGCAATCGCTCGCCTTACTTCCCTTAAAGGAGCCCAATTAGATTTAGATTTAGGGCAACTCTTGGAGGAGGCGGGACCACAGCACGACGCCAGAAGTGAATTTTGACTGGTCTAAGCCAAACAAAGAACGCTGGCCCCTTGCCTGGTGATTGGTTTAGGCCTGAGCGTGACACGCAGTTCTGATCAATGAGGAGGGAGAGGCGGTCTGCGGGGGCGTCCTGCGCCCTTGCAAGGACGAGCTTGAGGCGGAAAGGCTGAAAATGGCAGACGGGAAGGACGGAAGCTTCCCGGGTTCCCGGTGATGAGCCTGAGCCGCTGACAGACCCCGTGTTCACATTCAAGTCATACGAGACAGTGAACGGTTCTCCTGCATGGGCACAGCTTGTTGAGCTCCTGGGACGGAGCGCCCCCGGCTGACACACCTGCCCCGCTTAGGGGGGTGTCTGCTGTGTTCCTGGAGCTCTTCTTAAACGTTGTTTACAGAGAGCGTTCCAGCCAGTTGTTATTCCAAGATTCACTTGGTGGATCCCAGATTGTTTAATAATGATGATAGTAAGTATTCTTATTTGAGTCTTGATATTAATAGGAATGCCAGTAAGAGTAGTAACAAAAAGTCAGTATTTATTTTGCTCTTTCTCTGCCATGCCAGAAACTGCGTTAAGTACATTACTCGTGTCCTCTCATTTAATCTTCGGGAAAATGAGAGTGTTTCATTATTATCCCCATTTTATGACTGAGAAAACTGAGAGGTCAGAGAGGTTATGTAACTCATCCAAGGTCACACAGCTAGAATGTGACAGAGCTCAGAAACTGTGCATATATATATATCCATAAGTATCTACATATACATTATAAAATATTAAGATGCCGTTTTGAAATAAGTTCTCTTATGTTAAGAAAGCATCTTTCTATTCCTACTTTTTAAGGTTTTTTTTTGAAGAAATAGGCATTTATTGAATACTTTTCAACATCTATTAAGATAAACTCTTTGAGCTGTTAATAAAATGTATAAATAATTTCCTTTCACAAAATTAAATTATCTTTGCATTCCTGGGGACCTTCTGTACTCCAAGATCATTTTCAGTATACCATTGAATTCTAAACATCAGTACTTTATTTAGGACTTTCACATTCCCATTAATGGAGCTAAGTAGAGAGTTTTGTGGGGAGGGGTTGCACTATCTCTGTTGGGTTTTAGAACCGGGGTTATGTTCACATTAGAACCGTTTCCACCCGTGTCCTGTTCGGGACAACTTTACCATACAAATGAAGTCTTCCTTGAAAACCTTCTAGAATTTAGTGGAGCGCCATCTGGGTCTAGAGCCAGTTTATGGTATAATTGTTTTATGACTTTCTTGGTTATTGATCTTTCCTATGTCATGCTTATTCTGGAGTCAATGTTAGTAATACGTATTTTTCCAGAAAATGTATGCATTTGTGGAAGGGTTTTAAAACGTATTAATCTACATTTCAGGTGTGAATAGTATTTTCAGACTCATTTAAAACGGTCTATGTTACTCGCTCTGGTCCCTTTCTCTTTGCCTCTTCCTGTTTTCTCCTTTTTCTTTATAATATTGCATAGAAATTTGTCCAATATTTGTATGTTTTCTATGCAGAACCAGTTAAATTTCTTTATTTCATTTTTGTTCTGCTTTACATATTTGTTTATTTCTACTTGTCTCTTTTTTCCTTTTATTTAGGGGTTTTTCACTCAACAATATTTCAGGAACATCATTCCACATAAATAAATATGCTTTGTTGTTATTTAGTGGCTGCAAACTATTGTATTTTATGAGTGTGATGTATATAAGTTGCACAGGTTACTGGCTCCCTCCTCAAAACTCAACCCTGAATAAACTAAGGCAGAGAGATGGAAGCGAGAACCTGAGAGCCAGCTGGTAGGCAAAGACGGTCCAGAACAAGTGTGGCTGCGTAGCTCTGAGCCTGGTCTGCTGCCTCTAGACAGGACAGATAGAACATGACTTGAGAGTTCTTCACCAGCACCTGCTCTTTCACCGTTCAGGCTCGGGCGGCAGCCATGATCCCTACTGGCCAGAATGAAGAGAAGCAGCTAGGGCTCCTCGTTTTCCGATTCTGCAGTAAGGAACAGGTGACACTTAGTTCTCACAATAGTATGGAACTAGCCTAGGATGATGAAAAAGAGGCCAAACGAAGGGAGCCTCTGTTTTCTCATCTGGAGAAAGGGAGAACAGGCCCAGCCTTACGACGTGCTGATTTCCAGAGGAAGCCTCGAAAGTGCGCTTCCCCGCTTTCCTTCTTTGCTCTGCCTTCTTCATGAACGTCCACATTTCCCCCTCGATGAGATGTAAGCTCTCTCCGGACTCCGAACTCTGGAGGGTGAATTTGACGTGGCTGCTGCCCCATAGACGTTTACAGAGCTACACATGATTAGAGCTGCAGGCTGAAGAATGACAGCCTGAGACGTTCTGAGATTGAAAAGGAGTGAGAGAGGGGAGCCCGTGTCAGGGGCTCAGTGGTGACAGGTGTGTATGTGTGTAACAGAAAGAGTGCCTTGAGAAGCAAACACAGCACACGACATTTATTGTTAAATGAGCAGCAGAGGAAATACAGGGAAGGAAACATGCATGCAGTCCCGGCCACCACAGTGCTGTCAGACGGAAATTTTAAAAGAGCAAGAAGCCTCATCTGCCCTTCAAACACTGTTTCTGCACGCTCAGCAGCTGTTGCAGTGTGGCCCCGTGCTATCCCAGAAGGGAGGGAAGTATGGCTTGCTTTGTTTGAGTTCCATTGTGCAGAGCCTATCAAGTGACACTCAGCAGAACACAAAATTGTTGCCAAACAAGGAAACTGCAATATCCAAAGCTAAGTTCAAGGTAAAGATAATAATTCATTCAATATGTCTCTGCGGGGTCTTCACTATTTATAAAGACATCTGATTCTCTGGGGGTTAAATAACCATAGTTTCAAATTCAGGGTGCGAATCAGACCTAAACTATTAATCTGCACAGTGTGTTGAACCCACTCTCGCATGACGCCAGCGGTAAATAGGCTTTTCGGACTTTAAATCCTCCCTCCTCGAGTTCTACAAACGAGAAGCAAAATTTTACACCAAATTAATTGGTTCAAGTGTGTTTAAGGATTTGTTTCCATTCTAGAGTGAAATAGAATTTTCCCTAAGTCACCTGTTGGTGTTCTTTAAGCAAGTGTCATTGCGTTTTTATCGTGCCACTATAAGAAGAAAATCCAACTGAGATGATTCATCTTAGACAACATGAACAATACCAGGGAGGAAGCCACCCATTTCCAGCCTTCGAGGGTGGCCCTGTGGCCCTCAGAGAGCCCCCACCCTCCCGGGCAGGAGCCCCTCCAGCGCCTCGGAGTCTGAGCATCCTTGGGAGCTGGCCCCCTGGTATGCTCTCTTGGTCTTCTGCCGGGCGGAGCTGGAGAGGTCAATGGCCACATCTTCCAAGCCGTTCTCAGGGCTGCCTTCGTCTGAGCATTTCTGGGGTCCTGCCTGACTTGGGCTAGAACCTTCCTTGAAGTGGTCAGAGTCCCAGAGTCCTGCCATCTTTTCTCCACTTCCTGGTTTCCTTATCATCCCTATGGATTTTTTATGCATCCCTTGCAAAAAAAGAAAAGAAAAAAATAAAAATAGATATCTCTAAATAAAACAACTAAGTAAATTTAACTCCTTGTCATTGTTCTCCAGATGCCATTAGAGTTGCCCTTGGTGCCAGTCTCCGGGGCCTCCGGGAGAGTAAGGTAGGTAACTCCCACCATGAGGGGTTGAAAACTAGTGTCTGCCAGTCCTGTGCAGCCAGTAAAGGTGCCTTGTTTTGATGACACGACGATTTTTTAAATTTTGTTTTAAAATTCGTTACCAACATTTTAAAATTGGAGATTGCACATCAAAAACCAGACTTCCAGCTTCTTTCAAAAAGTCAGTGTCTGGCAGCACTGGGCCCTCTTTCTTGTATGGCCACAGACCTCGTGCCAGTTAGCCCCCCAATCGGCCCCCACCCTGCCACCCACCTGCTTGTGTAGGTTCAGAGGGTGGGCTCGGCCCCCTGCCCAACTCTCTCCCTCAGTCTCTTCCATCCTTGAGGGCAAAGTCGACACCATATTTATGACTGGACTCTCCAGTCCCAGCACAGTGTCAGGTGGGAGGGGGCTCAGAAAATGTTTGCCAAACAAAACCCTCCCCCTCCCCCACCTAAGATGCTGCCCCAGCTCCCTAACTGCAGCCTCCCTCCCTGCTTGGGGTGCTGACTTGTGACTCATTTCTCCAAGCCCATTGGTCTCTGGTAACAGCAAACGGACCAATAAGGGTACCACCTCCTCAGAACACCCAGCCCTGAAGCTCGGACCTCACCAGTGTAGACAGCTCTAGCACCAAAAACCTAAGGAACAGAAGAGCTACGCTTCAGGTGGTTAAGGGCAGAACCAGGACCAGGAACCTGCCCTCTGACTCCGGTGTGCAGGGGCTTCATTGACTGCAGGTTCCATGCCCTGCACGGTCCTGATTCCTATTACCGTGACCTCTGAGTGGTATGGTTTCCACAAGTGCTAATTGTATTCGACATTTGGGAAACACATTTCACATAATTAAAGTATATCATTCCTTTCCTAAAACCATGGCCTGATGTGACCTTTCCACAGTCTACACGGTTCCAGTGAAAAATAAGGCAACTGACCAGATAGTCCAAGCCTCGTAATTAATTAAAAATCAGACGTGATATTCTGAGCCTGAATCTGAGTAAATTTACATTGCTTTGCTTTACAAATGAGTGCCCTACATAGGTACGGCCCCTACTTCTCTGGCCCTCATGCTTGCTGCAGGGTCCTCTTCCTTACCCAGGAGCCAGGGTGCACAGGAGCCAACCAGGCCACCGTCAGTGGAGTTGAGGACAGAGTCAGGCAGTGGGATGCAGTGTCGCACCATTGCCCCATAGAGCCCATACTCCGCCATCACGCTGCTGCCGCCCCAGCGCTTCTCCCGTTTGCGCCACTTGGCCCTCCGGTTTTGAAACCAGACCTGGTTTGAGGCAAGAGGGAAGCAGAGAGGCACACAGGAGAAGACAGAGTGAAGAAGGATGCTTAGAGGTGTCTGTAGCTCAGGGCTCTACAAAGGGCCGACCATCCACTCGGGGTGGCATCTATGACCCAGACCTTTCAGGAGCTGTGCCACCGTTCACTCAAAACTCACAGGGTGGGGTAATGCGTGGCCACTTTCCACTGAGGTTGTCCACAGAGTCAGGAATGACAAAAATCAAATCTAAATATTCCTACATTGTGTAAAGAAGCCCATTTTCCACACTGATGGGAAATAGTTCACCTGGCAACGGCCCCTTCTAATCTCAGGTTATTGGATTGCATTATCTTCATTAAAGAGTAGCATCGAATATTGTTCAGCTGTTAAAAAAGAGTGAGTTACTCTAGTGGCATATCTTCTGACCCGGACAAACGTCTAAGATGTGTTGTCAGTGAAGAGACTAAGGAGTAACATGTGATACTCCTTTTTGTAAAAACAACAAAATTCTACATGTGTGTGTGTATTTATGTATATATCCATTTTGGGGGGCAGATAAATGTCTGACATGGAGATGGTATGTAGAAAGGTGACATCAGCACGTCTATATTGGTTTCTTTAAGGGTTTGTAGTGGAAGGATAGTCATTTTTTTTCACTGATATATCTTTATATAGTTTCTAGTTGCAGCACACATTATTGTGTAGTTTTTAAGAATGATTTAACAAAAGGAAAAAAGGCGTGAGAGTTACCGGGGATATCCTCTGGGAATAAACATAAAGGAAGGTTCTAGCAGTGCGGTGCTTGCATCTAGATGACCCTCAGTTTGCTGTGAAGGGGAATGTGTTGAGCTGTTCAGAGGTGGCTGTGGGTTGACTCACTGCACGTGAGGGTAAGATGTTCTCTGTGATGTCTTTGGAAAGGAGAAAGGGGACCCAAGACACCTGTATTCGGTCTTCAGGGAGCTCAGTTTTCACAGCAAGCCTTTCCCGGGCATACACGTCAGGGTAGTGGGCCTCGCTGAATGCCTTCTCCAGCTCTTCCAGCTGGTGGGCAGTGAAAACAGTACTGCAGGGAGGCCCAAAACACACGTGGGCACATGTCCACAGGAGGCCACAGGCTTCCTAGCCTAGAGGACCCCTGTGCCTGCCTCTCCCATTGTCCACACCCCAAAAGGCCACCTCCTAATAGCTGAGCATCCTACCTTTGGTTAGCCTCTGGAAAGTACAGAAGTTCAGTTCAAACAATACAGAGTTCTTTAGCTCTTTTTTTCTCCTCAATGAATTCCATCAACTCATTCTAAGACCCATTTAAAGACACAAAATTGTGTCTATAAAGCGCTACAAAGACTGTCCTGCAGCCTCCCAGGAACTACAGAAATATGTTCTTAAATGGCTACTGTTCCCTTCCCACTGCCAACCAGTTGGCCGCTAGGCCTGCCGTAACGCAGAGCCACGCATTTTCAGATGCTGAGTCCCGAGGAAGGGGTCAGGGAAGACAGCCTGGCCCCATACCTGTGCCGCCGCCTCTTCCTCCTGCTTGGGGTGGGGGATGCCTTCAGTTCACTCCTGTCTTCAGACGGACTGTCCTCATCTGTTAGCACAAGGAGAAAGAGAGGACTTTAAAGGTGAGCACACTTTTCCTTTTATTTTCTGGATTTTTCATTTGAGGATTGAAGCTATGGACCTGTCAGGAAATGTGAGTATTGACCCATACAAGCTAGCATTTGCAGCACTCACTATATTACAGGTATGGTGCTCAGCACTGTCCATGCATTACTGCAGTTATTCTTCATAAATTAAAAGAACTCCAAGGTAGCTGCTATTATTATTATATTTTTGCAGAGGAGAAAACCGAGGCACAGAGAGATTAAGTAACTTTCCCCAAATCACGTGGGTAGTAAATGATGAAGTTGGGATTCAAACCCCAGACTGTGTGAAGTCAAGGCTACTTGGCCGCTAATTGAATTTCCTAATCCCACTGGGCTCCCAAATTCATCTGCTACCTTCTGCCTCCAACGTCCTCCTCTTAACCAATATACCAGCATTTCTCAAAGGGAGGGTTGAGGTTTGTGACATCAGAACCTCTCTGAGAACTGCACTCCCTGCACCTCTGTACCAATTCCGAATCTCTGGGCACAGAGTGCAGGGCCTCATTCTCGACAAGTGCACCCAGATGACTCATAGACACACTTGGAAATGTTTAGGAGCCTTGCTCCACTATGCTTTGTCCTTCGATATTCATTATATCACAGGCCAGAAGGTTAGAAGACTAAACTCTTGTCAGATTCACTGTTAAAAAGTATATG